TGGACACTCAGCGTTTATACATATAGACGGTATGGTCATAGCCTGAAGTTCCTTTGAGGCATAAAACTGGCAGTTACCAGACATTCTTGGTTCCTATGTCCATTTTGTTTATATTTGTAACACCTAACCTGACCCAAATGGAGCGATGTACTCTACAAGACTGGCCGTTGGTCCTGTCCTCGTTCATTATTACAGGTTCAATCAAATTCTCCGGTTCACGATGTCGATTCGATTCCACTTTCTAGCCACGTTGTGATTTTTTGATCCTGGAGAGAAATTAACAAATCGTAGATCCCGGAAGATTCAGCTGGTCTACGAGCAAGTTCGTTGGGGCAAGAATCAGGTCAAGCAGATAAGTCAAATATGAACAAGTCGATTCGATTCCAAAGAAAAGTTTATGTATATGTAAATAAGGAAGAAATTGGTACAAAAAGCATAATGTTTCTTTTACAAGAAAGTAGTGTACATGAAATAAAGTCTAGAAAAAACTATTGCAAATAATTCTGAAAGTAGAGTAGTAGTTTTCGGGTTCATCCTTTTTGTTCTTAGTAGTGGCCGTAATTATTTCACTATCAGGATATAAGAGGGGTTCACTGGCAATATTGTGCCAATATTACAGATAACTTGAGTTCACTTCCTCCCTTAAGCACTTCCTCCGCAGCAAGCGGATGCTTTCACTTTCACTGCCTCTCTCTCTCTCTCTGGTCGACTGCTTGATAATAAAGTACTTGTAAAATCTATGATAGAGCCATGATATAATTATGATAAAGACCCGATGAAACTTGAAGGAAATAAGAGATTCGTTGCTTACCAATGTGCTAATAAAGATGAAGAGTATAAATATTTAGATGGCAGAAATGAAAAAACAAATACATACTTGAAACAAGAATAACGAGTTTATCATTGATCTTTATAAATACATTGCAATGTAAAGTCCGTCATCAGGGCTGCGTAGAGATCACATTTACGTTTGAGATTGTAATAGGTTTCTTGAGTTAATCAGCTCAACGCAGATGAGTTGAGAATTAACTTAATGAAGATTAAGCTTCATTTAGGTCAGAAGAAAACGTATGAACGTTGTGGTTTGGTATTTATTTCGTATTTATTTGATATTTATATTGGTATTTATTTGGTATTTATTTGCTAACCCATAACAGCCGATTGTGGTACATAATTTCGTTTTAATGTAAGAGACCGTATATCAATTGGATACATCGCACGGAGCATATTATTGGATGTGTGAGAAAATAAAATAAAATCAATAAAGAAAATAGCAAAAAAAAAAAAGAATTTTAAAAAAGAAATAAATTTTCCTATGATTTTCCATAGTAATAAAGGAACCTGAAAGAGTTTTGGTCATATCTGCAATTTTACGACCTCATTTCCGAAAAGGACAGAGCTTCCCCGCCCCCATTTTCCAACGCATTGCGTTTGGCAGAACCTCTACCGATGAAGTAAGTACAAACTTTACTTTGGTCGTTCTAACTAAGCTCGACCATTATAACCTTTCTTATCATTACTGACCCTAATTTACTTCTGGATAAAAGAAGAAAAAAAATGACAACGGACATACCCAAGACATATTCAGAACTTTACAGTTTATATATATATATATATATATATATATATATATATATATATATATATATAAAAAAAGAATAAACGGTCCGTAGTAGAAACACAAGATTTTTTGCTGCTTCTTATTTACTCGTTTATATGTGAACACGCACACACCTACAATACAACAACACGCTTCCTCAAATCCCATAGAAGTTATTCAGAAATTACCCGTTCTCCCGGTCATTATCACAGAGTCCAGCTCTGATTCTACTAGTCTTTTTGCAGTTGATGCCTGGAGAACGAATTCCTGATCAGAAGGTAAACAGTCGTATTCTTTTAGGTGTTGACGGACGAAGAAACCCGCCTGTTATCGTAGTTAATGAAGAATATACTTACAATTGTGTTATTCGAATCCTATTTCTAGCTGTAGATAGGATCTCAGAGCCTGGTTCGCGCATTGAAACTTAATCGATTATAAAATATTTTGTTTATGTACCAAGCATTGATTTGTTAGAGAGGTTGTGATCTTGGATATACTTTAATTTTATCACAACGTCGCTGTCACTTTTTCTCCGGTTTTCCTCGTGTGTTTTTCTGGGAAATTCGAACGTCGCATGACCTAGTGGATAAAGCTCATTTTGTTTACTGGAAATTTTGCTTTCTAGTTATAGTGAAGTGTATGAGTGCTGAAACAGATTAGTTTGATTTGGCCTTGTTAGTTAGATAGCTCACCATAAGAGGGGTATAAAACAAGAAAATCAAATTGTAAAGCGAAACAACAAATTTATATACATATAAATCAATTATGTTCTTTACAAATAAAATTAATGTATTTTGGTTTGGTCGTCAAAATGTTCGTAGTAGTCCTTGCAAGAATGAGTTTATGTTTACGTAGGCAGGAACGTATGTGTGTATGTATGTATGTATGAGCGTTATCGAGGGGTAGGAATGTCTTTGAAGTAATCGCTCAGTCTTAAAATGTTCCGTTCCTTTATCAAGTATAAAAGAGGTGAGGGAGAAAGGTAGAGATAATAATAACGATCGCTTGACGTTTATCAAGGGACGTGTTAATACGCTCGTCGCCTTCTCTCTGGTGACAGGCGAACTTGCCCGTCTTTTATTTTGTTTGTGGAGCTTGAAAAGGTCATTTGGGAATTCACTCCCGGATATGATTCAGGCCTTTCCATTGGACGACGAGCAAATTTCGCGTCGTCTCTTAAAAAGGTCCGTAAAAAAATTTGTTTCTGAGAATTGAAGATTATTTGAATTCTGTTTTTAAATGTTTCCTAGTTTTCTATTGACCGAAAAACATTTCACATCAAGGTGTGAAATTTCACGAGTTTTGTTTTGGATTCGCTTTTGCGTGTGTGTTAAGCAAAGTTTGTAAATTCGACTCTTTTTAATTTCTAACAAAATCAATGAGTCAGTGCTTAGCATTAGAATTTTCAGTCTAGATCTTGTTTTATTCACTACAAAGGTAGTACAGAAATATACACGTATGGTATTATCCCACCTTTCCTTCCAGGCGACTGCTAATATCCGCGAGGTTGTGTTGTATGAAACAGTATGAAAAAGAAAAGACTCAGACCATTTTTCTCTTTTTTTTCCTTTACTGCTGTAGAGATAAGACGTGTCTCACCCCCTCACTACGAGGGACTTCTTAATCCGTTGCAAACCACTTGCCGCATTGTATATAACACAGTACTGTAGTGGATCTAAGAAGGTTGCGTGAATATTTAAGATTGTGCTTTAAATAAAATATGCAATATCCACAAACATAAATTATAAGAAATGGCCAAATGGTAACGATATTCAATCACGACAAAAAATACATGTTTGAAACAACAGATTAAATTTTATATACACAATTTACAATTTCTTTATTTGTAATGATGTGTGCAAAGGTATATTTTAGAGAAAAAGTTCTTTGCTGATCGGAAATGTTCAATGTCTAAAAAGTTGTCTGCCTTTGATTAAAAAGGTTGAATTTAACTTAGACAAAAGATTTTTTATGAAAGATATTGAGTGAAAAAGTTTGTTGTGTAAATTTTACTAATCTCTCATAAAGGAAGTTTGCTTCTTTGGTGGCACATAATTCCGTGTTTATCTTTCGCGTGTATGAGTTTTAAATGCGACGAAAATTCGTTTGCTATTTCTATTTCTAGTTTTCTTAACAACGAAATCGGCTCAACGAGGCTTGGTAGCTGTTGCGAATTTTTCTGAGAAATGCGTGGGCGAATGTTGTATTTTTTATTTTTTAGCCAATAGGATTTCTTGAAACATTTAAATTAGGGAGGAATTTGAGAAAGATCTTTTTTTTTTATGTCGGTTGAGCCTATTTTTGCACAAATTTTGACTGTTCTGCTATGGAAACTTCTCGAAGCTTATTTTTTATTTAACAACCAATGAAATTCAAGAAAATATTTGAAATTAGAAATGAGGGTTACTAAAGTACCACCACTTTACTATCTCTTGTTCAAAAAAACTCTTTTGTGACGACAATATCTCCACTACAACCAATCATATATATATATATATATATATATATAATAAAGAAGTAATTATACAAAGAATTAATTAGCAATTTTAATGTGATTAATGGCGAAATCACTTCGCTAAGAAAGACTTAAAGAGACATTAACTTACTATCAATTCCCTGAATAATTCCAAAATAATGTAACTATCAATAAAGATAAACTTATTTAACGTCTCCTGCCAATACCTCATAAATAATTGACTATTTTGTTTTGATCGCTTGGAAAGAATGTGAATGACAATATTTGATTCCGGCAAGAAAATGAAAGAAAAAAGGGAATACAGAGGTGTTTAACGGCTGTTTCAGTGAAATGGAAAAAGTTGTCAATTTCAAATCTTCTTAAAATAACGCCCACTATTCATATGGTTGTTATTGCAATATTTTGTTAAAGTTGTTAAGCTCAAATATTTAACGACGCGATGGGGGAATTTCTAAATATTTTATTGTAGAACTCACCATGAGCTGATTCAATCATTAGGTTAAGAGTTAAGATACATCAGAAAATTTAAATAGGAAAACTGTGAAATTTTCACGGATCTTTCCAGTTATTTATTATTATTATTATTATTATTACCCTTTGAGTCTTCCGTCAATTGTGAATAAATCACTTGGCCTTGAGAGTTACTTCCCCTTTTTGTGCTCTTCTCAGATTGTTAATGCAATGGCAGAAGGCGTAGACTTGAGTGACAGTCTTTCTTGGGTGAGTGACACACGCAAATAATAGATGAAACCAAGCACGTTGAGGACGTTTATTTAATCACCAGATAATACCTTTTTATAACACCCCACCTTACTAAACAGCTTGTACTGTCCTAATGTTGACAAATAAACCTGATAACCAACAACACAGTTACTCTGTCGCCCTATCAACAACACAAGAAGAAATAAGAAGGAAAAAGGGGATATGTCGAAAAAACGATTTCAACAGTCAATAACCGGACCCAAGGGAACTTTTACGAGTTTTATTAACGGCAATGAAGCTTCCCCTAACGTAAGTAATAATTAAAAAAAAAATAAAATAAAAAAAAAATAATTGATTTACAATATTTCATCTTGCGACATTCTTTTATTTAGTTTTTTTAAAGTATTTTTAATATTTTTTTATTTACTGATAGTATTGTTTTTTTTTCGTTGATTTGCAGTGAAATCGACCAATTTATTACTTGAAACAATTGAAAACTGATCCCCCACTTATTTTATTTTTAATTTGAATTGAAAATTAAAATGTTTACTTTTTTTTTCTGTAAACAGATTCGAAAAAAATAAAATGAACTTCATTCTCATTTATTTATCTGATAAAAAATCAAATCGAATATAAAATATAAATATATTTATTAATTTATATTTTAATTAAAATCAGATATAAAATCTATTTAATTTTATTACGAGACTAACTTCATCTATTTTTTTTTTTTATTATTTCGTCTTTTAAACTTAAGAAAAACAATATTTTTGTTGGGGGTGGGGTAAAAAAATGTATTTTCTTTTAAATTAAGTTATATGACCAATGACCATGCATTTAGTGTTTATATTGTACATTTTTTAAAAGATTTAAACTTTTGACAACGTGACACTGAATAATTTATTTTATTTATTTTTTTTATTTTTGGTCATAAAAAAAAACAAACAACCAACGAGCCACTATGAATTTCTAAAAAAAAACAAAATAATAAAGATACAAAAATCGATTTAAAAAAAAAATTGCAATTATTTACTTTTTCTACCCACAATAATTTTTTAATCTCATTGACTTCAGGTTTGAAGTCTTTTTTTTATTTCGATTGCCCTCAATTCTGTTCTGTCAAATGATTTCAAAAAAGTGTGTATTCTCAGTATGCGTGTGTTAAAATAATAAACAAACTGATTTAAAAAAAACAAACAAACATAAAAATCATATTAAAAATATATTAAAAAAAACATTAAAAAATTAACTGATTAAAAAAACAAACTTACAGTTTTAGTTTTCATTTCTTTTAATTTTAATTCCTTTTTTTTCTACCTTAAATAATTTAAATTTTTGTACTAAGAAATTTTTGCTGAATAAAGAAAGAACCAATACATGGTTAGTTTTTTTTTTTTTTTTTTTTTTTTTTTTAAATTTTTATATTTATTTTTCAAATGTTTATTACTTGAAAAAATAATTTTTTTCCCCTTTTAAATGCAAAAGACATTTTTAAAATTCACAGGGTAAAAACGCAAAACACAAATCTGAATTTAAAAAGGAACAAAGAACAAAAATGATTAGCAATGTTGTCTTATTCTTCGTCATTTTCTTAGTCATGTAACAATTATTAAATGAAATTTGATTTCTATTTACCTTGCCTCATATTACAAACCTAACTTATTCAAGCTGCATTGTTCTCTCTCTTGAGTTTATATCGAATGAAGCACACACACACACACACACACTATTAAATTATTATTATTATTAGGACTCTCGACAATTGTTCATCACTAATAATGACCCTGGGGTCAGGTATAGTTTTGAGAGGGCACTCTCTCTCTACTCATACAATTCAAACTTTATTGGTCGACTAACTTATCTTTGCGTTGTTGTTGTCAATGCAGTTTTTGTTTGAGTGTTGAAAAACTTTCTTTATGCCCCACTCTCTTTTTTTTACTCACACGGTTTTTGTTTGGTCAGAATTGGGGTTAGTCGGTGTAAGTTTTAAATTGTTATATTTGTAGCCGAATTAAGCATTATTTATTTATTTATTTATTCCAACAATCATTGCATCTTTCGGGACCACAAACAATAAGGTGGACATAAGAAATCAGTGGTGTTTGTTCACATGTTTTTAAAAAGTTTACCTTTTAAAATCTTCCGAGAAAGAAAACTTATTTATTTACTTATTGCACTTAGGACTTCTTTTTTCTTTCTTTCTTTTTTTTTTTTTTTTTTTTTTTTTAGGTTTATTTGTAATCTTTGTATCCGTTGTTAACGAAACGATATTTCAGGTCACTGACATGTGATATAAAAATTTCGTGTTCTCATATCCTGAGGTAACCGAGCTGATAAGTAACTTTTAAGGAGGGGTTGATGTATATACCTACCCTTCCTTGTTTAAAATTTCATACGATAAATTTTACCCTTCCCCGACAATGAACTTGAAAAAAAAAAAAAAATCAATGTTACGATACGAAAATTGAATCAATTTTTTTTTTTTTTCTTTGCAGGATCATAATAACGCGGCACTTAGTGAGAATCAAACTTAACTTAACGGTCTTCTCCCCGCTTCAATTTTTTACAAGTTTCTACATGAATTTAAAAATCTAAAATTTTACTACTTGTCAAAAAAGTTAGTTTTTTTTTGTTAAAAATAAAATTCGATTTAATGTGGCAAAATTAAAATTGTTTTTCAGTTTTTAATTTTTAACTTTTTCATTTAAATTTACTTTTAAAAATTGTTGTTCCAGACACTTCTTGATAAATTTTTTATTTTTTTATTTTAAAGTAAAAAGTAATTAAAAGGCGACCTTATGATTTATATTCCTCAAAGTCTTCTTTAATTAAAAAAATAAAAATAGGGGCAACTATAGAAAGTTTGTCCGTCACAGACTTTTGTTGTCTTTTTGATTTTACGGACATTTATTATTTAAAATATTAAAAAAAAAAATGTTCCAGCCAGGTGTCCAAAACCATGTCAATATGGAATATAAAGTTAAAATAATTTTAAAATTTAAGTTGATTTTCCCGTTTCTACGTAAGTGTAATTTTTTTTAAATTGTAATTAGTTTTTAACTTAAATAAGAGCATCTTATAAAAATAAAAATTGACCATTTGTAATGAATATTTAATTCTCACTGGGTGTCTTTTAAACAGTTAACTATGATCTGGCTTTACCAGGCTAAAAACTAAGTTTAAATACGTGGGTGTGCACATCTGTTTCTTGTCAACACTGCCATGTGGGAGCAGACTCTACTTTTTTTTAACCCGTTCATTAGTAATGAAAGAAAAAAAAATCTAGTTTGAATTTCATCAGAAATTGCTAGTGTTCAGTTCAACTTAATAATCCTTGCGAAAGGCATCAGTTCACGTTGTCCCATCGCCAGAAAGCTCTCGTCTTTGGTATGTCGTATCCGCAATAGTTGACCTAGAAGAGAACAGCCTCTTCGTCCAGACAGTAAAGTTGTTTCAGCCATTGTCAACCTTGACGCTGACAGATAAACAACGAGCTTGTTATTTCTGTTACTGAATTTTTCTCTGCCAGCAAGTTTTACCAATGAACGAATGAGTGCCCCACGACATTATGAGAGCAAAAAAAGATTGTACTATTCATGGTCAGCGTCACGCTTGGTTGAAACGTAACACTTTTTAGCGTTGTCAATTAATGTGTCAAGTGCTATGCCATTTTTACGTGCAATTACTACTTACTTTTTTTTTTTTTTTTAATAACCAGGGCCAATTTGTGTATTCAATATTTATCTCTCTTATAAATTGTAAATTGAGTTTAAGCCTGAAATAACATTAAGAAGTACTTGTAAAAAATGTGCAGTTTCTGTTTGTCTCTGATCAAAATGTTGATTGGTGGAATGGGGAGACACACCCACACACTCTAGTGACATATATATATGTGTGTGTATGTGTATACACGCGTACACAAATAGGGTGCGATAGGTAACTTGTCGCCATTTTTAATTTCGCGCATGCAATCGCTCTGACAGGAATTTGGAAACAGCATTCTGTACTGCTTGGTATTCGCACCAGAAGCTCCAATACGAACATTTCAGATTGTTTAGGTGTCAATCTGAGGATAGTGAAGAGGATTCGGAAAGAGTTGGATGAGTCTTATGGTGATTACGAAGGTGTTTCGAGTGATGGTGAAGTTATGCCTCCATTTATCTTCTCACAGAGCCTCAGTCTCAACATGGAGGCCTACATCAAGTGCCTTAAGGAGGTAATGCTGTCCCAAGTCAAGAGGGTGTCTGCTGGAAGAACCTATGTCAGGCAACAGGACTCTGCACCATGTCACACATGCAGGAGAACACAGTGATGGCTGTCAGACAATTTCTGTGACTACATCACTCCATACATCTGGCCACCTAACTCCCCAGACTGCAACTCCCCTTGATTATTATATGTGGGGTACAGTTAAGTGAGAGACCAACAAAACTCATTGTAACACCAAAGATGAACTGAAGGCAAGGATGATGGCAGCATTCACCAACTTAAACAAGAAAACTGTCCAGAAGAGTTGCAGGAGATTCTGAAGGCCATGGTCGAAGACAATGGCGATTTTATTGAATAAATCTACTCTTTAGTATTTCAAGATATTTTTATGTAATTTTGTTGAATATATTTGTTAAAATGAGATGTTAGTGTCATTTTTTTTTTTTTTTTGTGTGCATAATTTAGATAACAATTTATCCATCGCACCCGCAATTTATACAGATTTGCTAAAAAAAATAAGCATACCATAATGAAAAAATGCCATAAAATTAATTATAAAATTATAAAAATATGCTGTTGGCACACTGATTAATTTTAAAACCCTAAGTTGGCACATAGTTAGCAAAAGGTTGCCGACCCCTGGTATAGAGTATTTTGGTGTTGTCAATTAATATTTGTCTTATGTTGATAGTGACATTTTGGTCATTTATGATGTGTTGGTCGATTTGTGCACAGATTGCAGTAAGGTCAGTCTGCAAGAGTGTGTGGTACATGTGTGTTCAATGTAAGTATTTAATGTTGCTTTTTAATTATTAGTGTTGGAGATGCAATCTCCCCAAGGGCATGAGAAATCATAGACATTATTTTTACACAGAGAGGATTTATGAGACCTCGTGTTATTGGTGATAAATAAGTTAGATATTTTAAAATCTTTATAATAGATGATAAATCTTAGGTATTTGTTAGGATTGTTGAGTGATATGTACCAGTGAATTATGTTTTTAATTGCATTTTCATCCTGTTACCATGCATTTGGTTGTGACTGAATATTTCTTTAAGGCTAATTTTATTTGTTCATTGACAACATGGTTAGGGAAACT